ATCTGTTGAGAGTTCCTTATTATCAATGTTGCCTTCCCAAGACTTTGCAAAGGTTTCCATGTCTTCTTTAAAGTGACTCTATACCTTTAGATCTGTGTTAGACCAGTTATATCTTATATTCTTACTGGATTTCCTTAGGCATGTATATGGTGTTTTGATTTGCCATATTTTCAAAATGCTAGTTTGTATTTTGTTATTAATAGTTTATGGGTCACATGGGTGACGCGATTTATGTGTAACAGTCTAGAATCCAAAAACCCGAAAGTCTGGCATGAAAGATTGAGTGTTGCAAGGTAAGAAATTATAGATAAGGCTCGGGTACTGATAAGGGAACTATGTGTATTTGAAAAAATATAGAAAGTTTGGTAAAGCTTAGGATTAGTATAGCTGATTATAAAGTAGATAGCCTATTGTTAGTTAGAAAAGTATAAATAGCTTACCAATGTATACCGAAAAGGCAGAGCTGACTGTGTTAGAAAAACAGTCCTCCTTGAGAAGAGAGTTGAATGTATAAGAAAGCAGCCCTCATTGAGAATAGAGATAAGAGTTATTGAGTGATATACCAAAGAAACAGAACATAATAAAGAGACACTTACCTTTGACCAAGTCAATCACCACGCTTCTGCCTTCCTTAAATGTTCTTTATAGGAGGCGTTCTCTTCTTTGTGTCATTTGTATTCTTGTGAAGTCTGGATTATGCGAGGCATTACGAATTAGCGATAGACTCGCTGGAAAAGCCTATGACAGTGGGAATAATATCTTTTCAGCTTTAATGGATTTATGTATCTATAAAGATCCAGGTGGATTTGGAGTTTATCTATATTCTATCAATTCTATTGTGCATGTATTGTGATAACTATGCATAGTTTTGTATAGATAGGTTATAATTTTTAAATATATCAATAAAGCCAAGTACCTCAAGAGAGTTGAAGAATATATTGTTTATTTTCTTGGAGTAGGGCTGAATTTGTCTAATCATGGATTGAGGTATATGTTGAAGTCTCCAGCAATGATTGTGTGCCAGTTATCCCTATTGTGTTGTTTGGCAAGGTGAATTATTTGTTTTTAAATATTGTCTCTTTCTTTGCCTAGTCTGGTGGCTAAGTAAATGCATATAATTCTGCAAAATCTTTTATTTGGGAAGGCTAGATCGATGCAGAAAATGTGAACTTTCAATAACTATTTGCCAATAACATTGTTAGCTATTTTTTGTTTTATAGCTATGCCTATCCCAAATCCATTGTGATTGCTACATATCTATTATATAACGTATCCTTTTGTTTTCCAGATATGTGATTTGTCAAGTCTATTTGTTTCTTTAGTTATTATGATATCTTATTGGTTTTATTTCTACATTTTCATTCACATTTTTCTCTTGTCTGGTTTATTAATGCCTCGACAGTTGAGTATAGTAATAGTCCAGTAAGGTTTGTATCTGTTTATTTCAGGTTTGTTATTCTTATTAATATTGTCTATATATAGTTGATTTTGATAAAAGATTTGTTTATAAAGATTAATCAGTTGTTCATGGATATGGTAATTGGGGGAAGGGATGGGTTGTTCATTAGGGGAAAGTATTAACTGAATAAACATTTAGAGCATTTTTCAATGCTTTTGATGACCATTGATCTATATTTGTTATGTTTATTATAAGAGCTTAGAATTATTAAAGATTGTTTATTGTCTATAATTAAATATGATATTGTTGTTGTACTGTGTGCCTAGGTTTTGTATAGCAAGTTGAAACTCTTGATACATAAGATGGATATTGTTTTGGATAGATTATTGTTAACTATGTAATTGTTCAATCATAATAGTAAACTGTGTTTGAGTTTCTGGCATAGAGAGCCTTTCTTTTTGTTTGTTATAATTAGTATTCTCCATTTGGTATTCATTTAAGCTTGATTCATAGTTGTTTTCAGGTGAAAGGTTGTCGAGATAGGTTTCTAAAGTTTTGATACAGTCATTTATATCTACGAGCTAGTCTTTAATATTATTAATTTTCCTTAGGATTTTTTGCAATTCCTTGTAAATATTATTATCATTAGGGTTATCTGCACTGTTTAAATCTTCTATTTTTGTGATCTGCTTAATTATTTCTATATATGATAATCTTTGAGGTTGTTTGCCTTAGGCTGAAGGTTTTTGTTTATTTGCAATTGTTAAAACTATTATATTGCCAGTTTTGGCTGGTTTAAATTTCTATATAGCTTGCTGAATTTATTAGTGATAGTTCTGTTCAGCTCAACTTTTTCTTTTTGCTATTGACAGATATTACAGTTTATTACTGAGTACTCTGTGGATTTGCATATTGCACATGTTTTGACTTGATGATGATTTATTTGAGTCAATTTCTTATAGGCTAGAACTTGAATGATAATGATTTCAAGGTTTGTTTCTTTGAAAAAGATGATTATTGTATAATGTCTTTTTCTATAATTGTTGTTGCATAGTATATGGCAGATTTGTTATTGACTGCTATAACTAGTTCTTTGAGGTCATATACTGTAGTACTAATAGAAGGTTGCACAGTCTTAGTGCATGACTCTATCAATTTCTCATTTGTTCAGGTGTCCATTCAGTATCAAAAACCCTTAATAACTCTTTTCTGATGTATGTAAACAGTTTGTAAGAGCTTATTGTTTAGCTTGGAATAAGATAAATTGTATTTATGCTGTTTGCCACATTGCATTTGTTTTTAGAATGATTTCTTGTATTTTGCCAAATTAAGTGAAATGATTGTAAATGTCTTGAGTTCTAATTTGAAATGAAATATTCCATACTACAATCCCATTGGTGTAGCAATTGTTTGTAAATCAGACCATTATGGTTAGTTTTTTTTCTGGAATGATGCCAATAGTCCTATTACATGCTTCTGCTACAAATGTTTCATTGTCCCAGAGCTTATGAATTTCCTTGTATTTCTTTTTTTAGATTATTCTTGTGCTGACTAATTCTTTCAAGTTTTTTAGTTCAGTTTAACTAAGACCATTGTTTCTTGCTCATTGCTCCCAGGTAAGTCAGATAATTTTATGCTGATTAGCTATCTTCTATTGCTAGGTAAATCTTCAGGAAAGAATGATCTATATAAGAGGACTAGTGGGAGTTCGACCTTTATTACTTGTTTGTATATGTTTACCAGCCTTAGCCAGATTGTTGTTGCTATTAATATATGTGAGTATTCTCTGTTGATAATGATTCATTCTGTTTCTGTCATGACTATTTCATCCCAGTTTTCAGGTTGCAGCATAGTTTCAGTAGATATCACATAATTATTTTTATGCAGTTTATATGGATTAGCAGCTGCTTATTTCATATTGTTGTTAATTTGCAGGTTCGGTGATATATTTGAGGGTTTGTTTCTATAGTGAGTTGTTCATCAGCTTTAGTATAAGTTTTTCTGAAGTTTCTTTAGTTTTTTTTGTCACCATAGATTATAATTGTTGTTTGAGTGTTGTCTTTAAATTCCAGATGGCCTTCCCATTGTTCTTGCTAAAGAAATTTTCATTGTAATAGCTTTATGTAGAGCTGGTCTTGCTCCAGAGACTCTGTGCAAAGTTTATGTTAAACTTTTAGACTCTTGTTTATATGCACAGATTTTTATGAATTGTGACTTCTTACTGCACCAGATAATTAATGAAAAGAGTCCTGTATAATTTAGAAAGATTCACTTGAATATTATTGATATGATAGAATTGTTGTATTATGTTTATTACTTGTTGTAGGTCTTTCTGGTTGCTGGTAATCTATATTATATCATCTATATAGGCACTGGTAACAATACCAGTAGTCCTGCAGTTCTATTCTCTTTTAAGTCTTTATAGTGTTTTGAGTTTATTGTATATTTCTTGTGTATTTTTATAATAAGAATCATAAAAAATTCATTACAAGAGTGGAAATATTGTATCTTTTTGATCAATTCTATTCTATATATTGTATTCCTCTATTAGACTATAGTATATAATTACAGAGTTTTATCTGATATATAAAATATTGATTAAAATTCAGATTATTTGATCTGAAATCTTTATTCTTTTGAAGATCAGGATCAGCATCTTGATGTTAACTGAGTTATATGCTTTGGAATATCTTGGCTAAGAATTTATACCTGTTATTATTTTCTTTAGCATGTTCTATTATGCTGCTAATTATATATATTGGATTTTATATACTGTTTTCTGGAAGTGCACCCAATTATATTCTAATAAAATTTCTTTGATATATCTGGTTAGCCTATAGATCAGGATTTTTGTGAAAATTTTTCTTTCTGCATCTAGTAAAGTGATAGGTCTTGTGATGTCAAGGTTGTTTTCTTACTTCCTTTAGTTTTGAAATTGGATAAATAATCTCTTTGCTATACTCTGCAAGAATATTGCTTTGTTGAATTATTTGATTAAAAATTTTTTGAACTTCTTCTTTAGCTTTTTTCTCTAAATATTTATATGTAATATAGGAAATTTGGTTGAGCCCTGGTGCAGATTTGTTGCTTTATCCTTTAATTGCAGTGTTAAGTTCTTCTTTTGAGATTTTTTAATTATAGCTTCATAGCATTATGATTGAATATAGCCTTTGAATTCATATTCTCTTTTTCAAAGTGTATAGTTATTTAATGTTTATGTATTTCTTAGAGATATCTATTTCTAGAAGTGAAGTCTTATATATTTTTTTATTGCTATTGGGTCTGTGATAATTTTAGTCTCCTCTCCTTGCAAGATAATTTTTCTAAATATATAGTTTTTTGTAGTTTTTCTATAATACTATTGATTATAGTCTTTTTATTAGTTTCAAGGAAGACTTGTTATTTGATTATTCATTGTTTAATAGTTTTGATCTATCTATAGTTCATAATATATTTGCTATAAGTTTATATACCTGGATATTTCTTTACAGGATTGAGATCTATTCCTGGATATATGTCTTAGGTTTTTCTATCTTGTTATGATAAATGTATTGTATATATCAAGAAATCTGACCTTTATAGCATTAGGTATCAGGGTTCTCTAGTTGTATTGGTTATTTCTGTGCTTGTTAATCAGTTTATCAGGTTGTTTAAGAAGTTTTATAAGGAAATTATGGGTGGAAAGGGCCTTGTTTATTTTAAATAGATCCCTTTTCTATGGTGGTTCTTAATTTTAAAAAAAATTTTTAGTAACTTTAGTATGTTATTTTTGAAAATGGTTTACTTTTTGTTAATTGAGATGTTTGGCTTGACAGTTTTTGAGGTTAGCTCTTCCATTATATTTGTGAAAGTTATCCATTGCTCTATACTATATGTTGCCAATTAAATCTATAATTGTGCTTATACACTATATATGGCCTTTTTTGCTGAGCCTAGATCCAGGTTTGATATTTCTAGTTCTATGGTCATATTTTGATAATTACTTTTAATTAAGTGTTGTAGTATATCTCATACTGTATATATATATTTCTTGATTGTCCTTTGTCCAAAGGTTTAAGTTATATTTGATATATTTTGCTTTTACTGTTTTGCTTCTTCCATGTGAACTCTTTTTAGTGAGGTGATATACATGATAGCTATCTTTGAAGTCTCAATTAATCAACATTTCTATATAGGATCCAGTTGGTTTGTTGATATATGAGGTTTTGTGATTGTTATGTCTATCCAAGATTGAATTAAAGGTTCTGTTCATATCTCCTAGGACTATAATATATCAATCCTTATTATTATCATTCTTTATTCATTATTGCAGAGTTCTTGTTACTGATATATGTTTTTTTTTTGTTATTATTATAGGGAAGTATACTTCTACAATTCATATATTTTGTTTATTTGAAAAGCCCATGTCTACTGATATCAACCTATTTAATTTCTTATATTTGAAGATTTTTTTTTTGTTTCAACATTTGGGATTTATGGTAGTTTCAGATTATATAATAGTTGAGACATTTTTAATGCCTTGATATCTAGTTTGTTCCATTAACCTTTGTTATTACTAATATATCTCAACCTTAACTATTAATGAGATCCAATCAAGTTTGTTTTTTGAAACTATTTGTGAGCTTTATAATATTTTGTATTGTAATTTCCTATAGATTTTGAATATTTTATTCAGTGTTGTACTATATGCCATTTTTTATTTGTATTGTAATTATGTCTGATTAATCTGTTATTTAGTCAAGATTCATATTATTTGAAATTGTACTTGGGGTATTGTTGATTATACAGTAACTATTATTATATTTTATTATTGTGCCTGTGATTTGTATTATAAATTCAAAGTATTTGAGTGTATTTTGATTACTGGTCAATTTATTGAGCTATTTTTTTCTGGTTTACTAGTGCTATTTGAACTACTTATTATTGTTTATATGTTGGGAATTGTGTATTACTTGAAACAAGAGTATTTATTACATAGAGAATGTTGCTCATGTTTTGATCCATCTTGTTAATTGAGTTATACAATTCTTGTTATCTTTGTTAAATGTCAGTGTTGATCTAGTGGAGAAGTCTGAGTCTATTGTATTGTAATTGTCAGTTTTGTTACTTATTATGTATTTTTTTTCATCATATCATCATTATTTTACTTATATGATCAAGGTATATAATTCTCTTATCAAGTTTTTTGATTAATAATTTAATTTCTTTAATGTCTTCCTATATTTGTTGTAATATACTATATTGAGGATTTTATCTATTGAATCTCATTTTTGACTATTTTATTGTTTAGTTCTAGGCTTAGTTGTTGCTGCTACTATATAGTATCCTGGTTTAGGTTTCTGTATTTGTATTTCTTTATTTAATATATTTCTGATTCATTGGATGTCAGTAGGTTTAAACTTTTAAAAAAGTTTGTCAAATCTTGATGCCTGGTCTTTATTATATAATGACCATTGTTCTCTTTTTTCCTTAATAGAACATTATATTAGGAGATAATTTCTTTGATTATTTATTGAATAGAGCCTGATTTCTATCAGTTTGACTATAATGGTGGTTTTTCTATGATAAATTCTTGTTCTAAACTTTTTTTAAGTTTGTTTCAGATTTGAAAAATATAACTGTGAACTATTTTCTAGTATATTTGATTCTGTGGGAAATATAACATGACTTTACTTAAAGTTGTTTATATACATTCTTTATATCGAAGGCATTGGTATTTGGTAAAAGTTTGGTAAGTTTTTTTGCATGCTAAAATCTCTCTATTATTTGTTGCCTATTATATTATATATATATTACTCTTTTTGCATCTTCTTTGATTAGTATATCATATTATTGGATAAGTTGTTTCTTGACTTCCTTATTCTGAAATGTGATTGTTTCCATTTGACACATTTGATTTGTCTGCAGTGATATGTTGATAATTTGTCCATATTCAGTGAAGGTTTATTGTACTTCTATGAATTTTGTGATTAGAAGAATGTCCTATATCTTGATAATATTTTTCTTTTTTAACTTTGTCAGTATGATTGTCATATGTATTAATCTTTTATTATCTATATTTGATAAGATTTAGTTACATGTCTCCTCTGAGCCTGTTCCTCTCCAAATAAGGTAATGATATAATTGATACTCTCTTTTTTTTCCTTGCAAATATTGAAGAGACTTTCTGAACTTTCTAATACTTTGGTTAAATATATGATTTTTTGATCAGGAGTAGTACCAATAATGTTTCTTGCCATGATTCCTGCTTTGAATTTTTCCTTGCTATATATTGTTATTCTGTCAAATAGAGATCTTGATCTTGAATGGTCTTTCCTTTGGTTTTTTTACTTGCCATATTTTTTCAATGTCTTTCTTGTTTGGATCTTGGTTTGATTCTTCTTCTCCTTCAATATATACTCCTATATCAGAGTTATCAATTCTTGCTGATGTATGAATGTGTTGTTTAGTATCTAATATCTTCTCTCTACATGCTTTTTTGGGATGTGGTCTATTTCAATAGCGATTGTTTTTTCTATCTGGTCACTATATATATATGATACTGAGCTTTTTGCATCCTTTTTCCTATAGTTTTGAAAGCTCTGATAGTTGATTATGGATTGATCGATTATTTGTTCATTTATAGAGAGGTTTTAAATAGTTTCTGTTATGTTTTCAAGTTCTTCTTTCTTGTTTGAAGTTGTTGTCATTTGGTTGTTCATATTGATTTCTTTTTAAAGATTTTTTGTGTTATCTCTTGTCAAAAAGTTCTCATTGTAGTTGGGTCTTGTGCTGGTTTTAGAATTGTGAAGGGTTCTATAAAAACTTATCTCTTCTATGTACTTTTTTGTTTCTTGAAAATTTTTGGATCTGTGAGAAGAGTTTTTTTTTTAAAAATTTTTATTAATATATAATTATACATATATAATTTGCAAGTATATAATTTAATAATTGTATAGGTATTTTTAAGTGATAAAAACTTATTTTAAAATTATAATAATCTTTTTTAATAATTTATTTTTTTATTTATATATTTATCAAAATTAAAGATTCTGCTTTATTTGATAGGACTTTATTAATTAGTCTCAGATATTGAAGTTAATACTTTCTGCTTATTCTTTGATATTAAATTTAATAATGATCAAAAAAAAACATTTTATTCTTATACAATATAATTTCAACAAGTGCATCCTCTGTCAATGCATATAGAACTCTATAAAATTTTCTCTTTATATTTATAATTTCTTTAAAGCATATACTTTAAAATTTTTTATATATTTCCAAGGGGGTTTACTTATAGAGATTATTCTAAAAAGGGGAGCCATTTTATGCTACATTACAATTTCTGTCTTAAAGTCTTATATATTACTCGAAGAATAATATGTTTTGTATTATTTTTGTTTTGATTATTTTATTTTTATTTTTATTTTTTTTCTATATAAGCTCTGAATTTAGTGATGTATGCTATTCTCATGATAATAAAAATGGCTTAGGTTTTTATATAGTAGGGGACAAAAAAAATTGTTATTTTTCAAATATATTTAGTTTAATAAAGAATTATAAATTAAATCAAACTTAAAATATAAATAATTACTTAAACTTTATAACTTTTATTATTATTATTTTATTTTATTTTTTTTTTGCATGAAACAGGCCCACTTTATTAAAATTTTTTAGAGGAGTACATTATACTTTAATTATAAAGCTATTTTGTAAACATTTTCCTATGTTATCTATCTAAAAATTTCCTTAAAAAAGCCAGTTTGTCTTTTTAGACCCTCTGTGACTTGTTGCCCATATTTATAAAACTAACGTGCCTAGGCTTCATTAGCATGCGAGAAGATGTCATAGATGGTTTTGGTGCTGAATATGATGTTTATTAGCAAATTGTGAGCCATTTGTGTGTATGAGGTGTGTTACCGTTTTTGACTATTGCTTTATTTGTGATGTATGTTTTTTTTGTATGAGATTTTGTTACTTTGGTCCATTTGTGAAACCTTCTGCATCTATCTTCCCATATGTTGAAAGTGAGAAATTTAATGTTGTTGATTATACCTCTGATAGTTTCTACTATTCTGTTTATATCCAGGTGTTGTGTTATAAGTTTGGTTATGCTCTTACTGATTCCACCTCTGATTAGTGTATTCTAGGTATTGTGATTGTTAAGGCTGGTTGAGGCTTCAGATTTTATATTAATATTGGTGATACCATCTTTTCTTGCTGTTATTTCTCTGTTGATGATGTTGGCTATTAGTTCTTTGATGTTTAGGTCATGTTGTTTGTATAAGAAGGGGTGTTTGTTGTCTTCTGAATCTGTGCATGCAAAACAAATGTTAGTAGCAAATGTACAAGAGTGTCGTCATTTGAGTATGGACATGGTTGGTAGTTCCTTGTTCCATATTTTTATGGAGAAAGTTCTGATTCTGTGATTCCATGAGTTGCAAGGTGGTGAGTTTATATTGGAGGGATGAAGGTTCATTAATAAGTTTTTCCAGTCTATTTCCTCTTTTTGTTTGTCTGTCAAGGCTTCATGTCTTTTTAGGTTGGTCCAGTCCCAGGTGTGTCGTGCCTGTTATATTGTTATGATGGTTTGTCTGATGTCATTGAGAATTTCAATATTGTGAAGTTTGAAGATTATGAGTTTCTTTTGTGTGATGTAATGTGTGAGAGTATCTGTCATGTTGAGTGTATTGTCGTCTAAGCTTTTCCAGGCAAGCTTGTCTACTCTGCAATGTTCTTTTACTAGGTTGTCTGATTGGATTTTATGCCAAGTAATTTTTAGATATTGTTGTTTTATTGTTTTGACTATTGCACTAACTAGCCTGTTGGGTTTGCATTTTTTCGCTGGTTTGGTTATA